AAAAATGGAGGGAAAGCTCTCAGCTTGCCGATCATCGGCGCTGGGCCCGACGACATTTATTCGTTTTTACAACATTTACATCGGTCACCCCTTTTAGTCCTCTACACCCCTTCAATTTTTTGGGCACAAGGGGTTCTTCCCCCCTGTGGAAATCTCCCCTTGTTCTCCCTTTCCCCAAACCGGGTACTACAGGAATGACCTCCCCAAACGCCCCATCGCCTTACAGTGAGTTTGCAAAGTGAGGGAAAGTCTCTAAAACGCGTTTAATGTGGGATTTAGAGACACACAACTTTTCTCCCCTAGTCAAATGGGTTCGAAGGTCGTTCACCCTAGACCCCCTTACTACCTTGGATCTATTTTGTAAATGCCTTTGGAATAATCACTCAGTTATTGCCAATTTTTTGACCTTTGGAAGAAAATACACAATTGAGGATAAATTTTTTGGCCCAGGCCCTCCTTACCTCCCATCAATCTACCATCCTTCCTTTCGAACTTTTTAATGACAGCATTTCCCGGGTTTGAGTCAATAAGTTTTTTTTCCCCGATGTCCAAAAGGGAAAGGGTCCCTCGGGATGGTTCAAGCACAACACTTTTTCCCTTGCTAAAAATGATTTTTGCCCTGTTCTTCCACCAATATTTGGGCATCACTCTATGTTTTTGGGCTTCGCTTTGCTTGTGCAGGGGGCTGACTGTCATCTTTTTGCAGTTTCTCTCCAGCATTCGGGCGACCGTGTTTCCACTGGCAACCACGCATGGTTTAAAAATTTTTAGTACAAAATCACCAAATTACTTTCATAACGCCTGTTATTGTTTTTTGTATTTTCATGGGGGATTGAAGTGACAGGTCCCCGGTTTTAGGTTCTCTTTGAAGTCGGTTTCCTGGAAAACCCCCTAACTCCTGAAGCAATTTTCAAGGGGTAAAAATTCTTAAAAACCCTTTTTTTATTTTCTGGGGAGTGATGTAAAATCTCTTCGCCCATTCACCCCCCCTTTTTTCGGAAAATCGAAAAGGGGACCAATTTTTTCCCCCTCTCCTCAATCTCCTAGCCTTAACTCTATCCAACACCAAAGGTTTCGTTTTTGCCTTGGGGGCTTTTTCCCTTCCCCCCTTTAAGCCCCTATACAGAAGCGAAATTTTTATCCCTTTTCTGATCCCGTGACCCATTCCTTCGTACTAGTACGCCTCATGATCTACACAATCCTTCCCCTTTAAGAAAGGTCACCGATTTTTAACATTCTTTTTTCTTCGCCGCCCCTTTGCTCCGCCCTTTTTCTTCCCTACATTCATCTTTTCTTCCCTTCAGTTTCCACCTTTTTATGTTCGTACTCTCACTTTCCCTACCCCCCTGGGGAAATTCCGCTGTTCGGGGCTGTTTTTTTCACTCCCCCTTCCGAAAGCCAAAAATGCCTAGGTCTTCCTCCTCTTTTTTTGTCAATTCCACTCCCCTTTCCCTGCCACCGCTGTGTACACAAAGGGCCCAAGTCTTCGACGGGTCGATTCGCAGCGTGTTCCAGACAGCTGTGCGGGGACATTTTTCTATCTTCACTAGCTTTTTTAACCCGAAATGAGCCATTTTTCAGCACTTATCGTAACGCTCATGTGGGCTCATTTGTATAGTCTCGACCCCCCAGGCTCTACACTAACGAAAATTTTATACACTCATCCCCATTCTCCGTATCCAATTGGCTACCCGTATCTCTCCAAACATAAAGAAATTTTTTTTTTTGGGTCCTGGTCATTCGAAATACAGGGCAATGAAAAGGCGACACGCTGGCTCAGCAGTACAGACCTACCATTTTCCATGAGGGGTTTCCATTTTTTATATTTTGTGCAATACTACCCACCTTCGCACCCATTGGCAAAACGTTTTGGGCAACCGCTTGGGAACAAACTTCATTCTATTAAACTGAGCATAGTTCCCCCGTTTTCTTTCCGTGCCGGGTGGGGGGACCACTCTCTCCCCCTTCGCATTGCACACCGCTTTTCTCATGGTATCTCATGGGGAGGCACCCTTCCTCTCTGTGGCATGTCAAGTTCCGTATCGATTAGCCACTTCTTTAGACTGCCCTCTCTATCAACGACACGCAGAATTTACCTCCAACGTCTCTCTTCTACTACCCTTTACCTTCCCTTTTTGCTGATGGACCCCCCTTTAATCCGACCTCTCATTATTTTTTGACAACGCTGATTTACTCCACAAACTCTGAGATACTTTCGCACTCCCCCTCACCCCTTTTCTATTCGTCTTTTGTCCCCTTTCCCCTTTCACCATCCCTGCCCCGCTGTTACCCTAACCTATTCTCATCCATCTCCCTTTTGCCACCTGATGCCCTGCTTCCTTTCCCCTGCCCGCAGCGTGTATGGCCTTGTGTTAGCGTTTTTTTTGATTATAAAATAAAAAATTTGAAAGGACCCCTAGATACCCATCAATTCCAACCGGGGCAACGGGGTTTAGAACAGGTCGCCCCTGTCTGTCTCAACTTTTGGATCACTCGAAAGGGTCCTAGAGCACTAGGAAAAAAAGAATGCAATGTAATATACAAACTTTCCCAAAAAGCCTTCGACAAGTGTGACTAGGGCGAAATAGGCACAAAATGGTGCAAAGAAAACAAAAAAGTGGTCGAGGATCTAAAATTTTCCTCACTAACAAAAAAAGAGTAGTATAGTCAACAGGTAAAGTCTGAGGGGGGTATGGGGATAAGTCGTTTCCCCAAGGCACAGTACTCACTCCACTTTTCCTCATCCCATCGACAAGACAAAGGATGTCAGCCATAGACCAGTCTTCCTTGCAGATAAAAACCCCAAATCTGCATGACAGTGTTTCCCCTTTCAGACAATCAAGGATCCCGGGAGAAAATCAACCAATCTTTCAATGGGCTGCAAAAAACAATATGAATTCAACGATGGGAAATTTTAATTTCTCAATATGGGAAAAAATGGGGAAATTAAAAATTCAACAAGTAAAAACAAAATTTCCCGGGCCCCACAAAAGCAAAAATAATTCAAAGCCTGGGAGGATCATGTGGGGGATCTCACCTTCAAAGGGCCTAAATTGTATCAAACGCATCTGCTAGAAAAATGACAAGATGGTAATGAAACCTTCAAAACTAGGGGTGCCAAGCCATAGACCTCTTTGGGCCTTTTTTCTTCTAGGGTGGAATAGCTGCACACAAAAAAGACCTTTCAAGGCAGGTGAAATTGCTGACCTAAAAATGTACAGAGAACCTTCACGGCACGCATAAAAAGAGATAAAACACCCCAATTACGGGGGCACTTGAAATTTTAACTTGTATCCCGGGAAAGCAGGGGGAGAGATACATGATTACAGTGGACCCCCGCATAACGATTTACCTCCGAATGCGACCAATTATGTAAGTGTATTTATGTAATGGCGTTTGTATGGTATGTTTGGGGGTCTAAATGGACTAATCTACTTCACAATATTTCTTATGGGAACAAATTCGGTAAAGTACTGGCACCTGAACATACTTCTGGAGTGAAAAAATATCGTTAACCGGGGTCCACTGTATGACACCTGGAAAATCCCTAGAGGGACTAGTACCAAACTTGCACACGAAAATCATTCTCTCCGAAAGCAAAAAGACTCGGCAGCAATGCAACAATCCCCCCAAATTTGAAAAGCAGGGGTGTCACTACCATGCTAAGAGACACACAATAGTGTCAGGGGCCAAGGTTGTTCAACTGCCTCCCGCATACATAAGGGGATTAAATAGACCCCTGGCTGCTTCAAGCAGGCACTGGACAGACACCTAAATTTTGGTACTGACCAGCGGGGCTGTGGCTCGTACGTTAAATTTGCGTGCAGCAGCAGAAAAACAATCGGTTGATCAGGCCTAAATCCACCATGAGGCCTGGTCACAGACGGCGTGGGGGCTTTGACCCCCGGAACTATCTCAGGTAAAACTCAAAGGAAACTAGCTCACTACTGCTACTGATTATCTGGCTAGCAAGAGCATCAGATTGCTGACCCTATAAAGTTATTGATCTGCACCAAAGTAAACTTCTTTTTAATAATACTAGAAACAAATACCTCTCTGATATCCCAGTGTTTGACTCAACCTGCACAAAAGCTAAATGCACATCAAAGGCTCCAAAATCTGGAACTTTCTGCCTGAAGATTCCAAAGGTTTCCTGTCTGCCAACCTCTTCAAGACTATTGTTACAAAGCACCTCCTTACCTTAATGAAGTTCATGACAACAATATATATATATATATACAGTGGACCCCCGCATAACGATTACCTCCGAATGCGACCAATTATGTAAGTGTATTTATGTAAGTGCGTTTGTATGTGTATGTTTGGGGGTCTGAAATGGACTAATCTACTTCACAATATTTCTTATGGGAACAAATTCGGTCAGTACTGGCACCTGAACATACTTCTGGAGTGAAAAAAAAACGTTAACCGGGGGTCCACTGTATATATATATATATATATATATATATATAAAATATATTATATATATATATATATATATAAATATATATATATTATAATAATATATATATATATATACATATGTATATCAAACACATCTTGAAACCTTCTTATTGACTTTTTATTCATTATTCATCTTTCTGTACTTCTTGTTTCTAGCATTTTTCTGCTCCCATATATTGCACCAAATGTTACAATCTTTTCACTCTAATACAGATACTATTACCATGGAAATATTTACACACTGACAACTGCTATTGTTTTGCATTCTTTGAGGAAGAATCTTTTAACTAGTATCTAAACTATTTTTAATTCCTTGTACTAGACCATGTACTTGTAGCCATAGTCTAAGTTTGCCTGAAATACTGTACATAATAAGGGTTTTCAAATTATTGTGTATGTTTGTACCTTAATTTGAAATAAAGTCATTATCATTATTGATATTAACTTATTAATAGTTTCAAATGAAAAATTGTTCCTAATGGACAAGAGGAAGGGAAGGTGTCTAAGAAAGCCTAGTGTAAATGAAATATACTTACCTTAAATGACTGCACGAACGTCCATAATAATATTCGAATAGTGTAACCCTGGCGAAGCAATTTTATAAGTCGAGCTGCTCGAAATAACCGTAAGAATCCCACATTGATGAAGTTTTCCTGGAAAGATGCAAATATAATAAATACATTAACATCAACAAAATCATCAAAAGGGATACTTATAGCATATATGTGTGTGTTTTAAAAGTGTGTGTGTATATATACATATATATATATATATATATAAAACATATATATATATATATATATATATATATATATATATATATATAATATATAAAATATATAATATATATTTTATTATATATAAAAAAGCACCAGAGTAAAAAAATAAAGAAACACAAATATTAGAGCACTTTAATGTGGTCAGAAACATGTCTCTGTCTCTCCCATTAAGGCAGGATGGTCGAGAAAAGGAAAAACCTAGCCAGCAATACTCATTCCCTTGTCTTTCCGAAAGTGCAAAAACATGAAAAACATGACAACTTATATGAGTGACTGAACCTCAAATAAAAACAGGTAGATGGATCAATCCACATCCTTCACAATACAAAAGCAGGTCAAAGCCCATGAATTAATTGTCTCTACTCCATTCAGGCATGCTCACATACCTGCTAGATGCTCAAGCACCTTATGCTTAAAACCTTCTTAACATCTTCCTTCCAATCTTTCCTGTGACATCCCCTACATGTCCTACCATCCACTCCAGACTTATGTATGCTCTTTGTTCAGCTTATTTTGTTTCCTCCTTTTTCAATGACTAAACCATTTCAACTCATCTTTTGGTCCCTGAATTAATACCTTTCAAACCACTCCATCCACTGATTATTTCACTCCTTGTACTCTTGAAACACCTTCTTCACCAGCCTTTTCCTCATTGCCACCAGCTTTCTCCTCACTGACACCAGCTTCCTCCTCACTATCACCAACCTCTTCCTCAAATTTCACCAGCCTCCTCTTCACTGCAACATTCAAAGATCATGCCTCACACCCATGCAAAAGCATTGTCACCACTATGCTCCCAGACATTTATTTTTTGCATCAACTAATAAACTTTGTTAATATGTATGTATGTATATATATATATCCATATGAATAACTAAAGTGTAATGAACACTCGTCAGTGCCTAATAATAATCCATATGGAGACAGACACACAGAAGGCTGACTGATCTGTATATTTTGACTCCCTTATGGGATCTTCTTCAGTTGAAGAGGATCCCAGAAGGGAGTCGAAATATACAGATCAATCAACCGCCTGTGTTTCTATCTCCATGTTGGTTATTATTTAGCATATATGTGTATGTGTGTGTGCGTACTCACCTACATGTGTCTGCATGGGTCGAGTCTTAGCTCCTCGCCTTGCCTCACCAGACTCATACTTTCCTAACCTTTTGGGACATATTGTACCTATTCTTAAAACTATCTGGAATCTGCTTTCACCACTTCAATGAGATCATTCCAATTCCCGACCACCCTGAGACTGAAGAAATACTTCCTGACATTCCTGTGACTTGTCTGTGTCTTTAACCCTGAGTACCTCTTAAACAGCTTGTCTCTGTCTGTTCTACCAATGCCTCTGAGTAATTTGTATGTTATGTCTCCACTGGTCCTGCTCTCCTAAAGGCTTGTTATATTCAATTATATTAGCCTTTCCTCATAGCTCATATCCTCAGTTCTGGAATTAGTCTTGCTGCATACTTCAACACTTTCTCCAGTTTTTTAACATACTTCCACAGGTGTGGGTTCCATACTGGTGCTGTGCACTCCAAGATGGGCCTGACATATGTTATATAAAGCACCCTGAATGACATTTTTTGTTAAGATTCCCGAAGGCCACTCGTAGACTTGCCAGGTAATTCTGTTGATGTGAGCCTTTTGTAATATGGTAGGCACTATGCTTACCCCCAGGTCCTCTTTGAATGAGGTCTGTAGCCTCCATCCTGAGTCTATACTGTGTCTGGTCTTCTGGCCCCTTTCCCCAATCTTCATAATCTTGCATTTGCTGGGATTGGGTTCAAACAACCACTTATCTGTGTGTGTGTGTGTGTGTGTGTGTGTGTGTGTGTACTCACCTATTTGTGGTTGCAAGGGTCGAGTCTTAGCTCCTGGCCCCGCCTCTTCACCGGTTGCTACTGGGCCCTCTCTCTCCCCGCTCCATGAGCTTTATCAAACCTCGTCTTAAAACTGTGTATGGTTCCTGCCTCCACTACGTCATTTTCTAGGCTATTCCACTGCCTTACAACTCTATGACTGAAGAAATGCTTCCTAATATCTCTCTGACTCATTTGTGTCTTCAACTTCCAATTGTGGCCTCTTGTTTCTGTGTCCCCTCCCTGGAACATCCTGTCTTTGTCCACCTTGTCTATTCCACGCAGTATTTTATATGTCGTTATCATGTCTCCCTGACCCTCCTGTCCTCCAGTGTCGTCAGGCCGATTTCCCTTAATCTTTCTTCATAGGACATTCCCCTTAGCTCTGGAACTAACCTTGTGGCAAACCTTTATACTTTCTCTAGTTTCTTGACGTGCTTTATCAAGTGCGGGTTCCAAACAGGTGCTGCATACTCCAGTATGGGCCTGACATACACGGTGTACAGTGTCTTGAACGATTCCTTACTAAGGTATCGGAATGCTGTTCTCAGGTTTGCCAGGCGCCCATATGCTGCAGCAGTTATCTGATTGATGTGTGCTTCCGGAGACATGCTCGGTGTTATACTCACCCCAAGATCTTTCTCCTTGAGTGAGGTTTGCAGTCTTTGGCCACCTAGCCTATGCTCTGTCTGTGGTCTTCTGTGCCCTTCCCCTATCTTCATGACTTTGCATTTGGCAGGATTAAATTCGAGAAGCCATTTGCTGGACCAGGTGTCCAGTCTGTCCAGGTCTCTTTGAAGTCCTGCCTGGTCCTCATCAGATTTAATTCTCCTCATTAACTTCACATCATCTGCAAACAGGGACACTTCTGAGTCTAACCCTTCCATCATGTCGTTCACATATACCAAAAATAGCACTGGTCCTAGGACCGACCCCTGTGGGACCCCGCTCGTCACAGGTGCCCACTGTGATACATCATTACGTACCATGACTCGTTGTTGCCTCCCTGTCAGGTATTCTCTGATCCATTGCAGTGCCCTTCCTGTTATATGCGCCTGATGCTCTAGCTTCTGCACTAATCTCTTGTGAGGAACTGTGTCAAAGGCCTTCTTGCAGTCCAAGAAGATGCAATCAACCCACCCCTCTCTCTCGTGTCTTACTTCTGTTATTTTATCATAAAACTCCAGAAGGTTTGTGACACAGGATTTTCCTTCCATGAATGCATGCTGGTTGGCGTTTATACTCTTGTTCCGTTCCAGGTGCTCCACTACTCTCCTCCTGATAATCTTCTCCATAACTTTGCATACTATACACGTCAGTGACACAGGTCTATAGTTTAGTGCCTCTTTTCTGTCTCCTTTTTTATAAATGGGAACTACATTTGCCGTCTTCCATACCTCAGGTAGTTGCCCAGTTTCCAGGGACGTGTTGAAGATTGTGGTAAGTGGCACGCACAACATATCTGCTCCCTCTCTAAGGACCCACGGGGAGATGTTGTCCGGTCCCATTGCCTTTGAGGTATCGATGTCCCTTAGCAGTTTCTTCACCTCCTCCTCATCTGTATGAATGTTGTCCAACACTTGTTGGTGTATTCCTTGCTGGTGTCCCCATCTGGTCTGTCCCCCCAGAGTCCTTCCTGTCTCTACTGTAAATACTTCCTTAAATCTCGTGTTGAGCTCCTCACATACCTCTTGATCGTTTCTTGTGAGTTCTCCACCTTCTTTCCTCAGCCTTATCACCTGGTCCTTGACTGTTGTCTTCCTCCTAATGTGGCTATACAGCAGTTTCGGGTCAGATTTGACTTTCGATGCTATGTCGTTTTCATACTGTCGCTGGGCCTCCCTCCTTATCTGTGCATACTCGTTTCTGGCTCTTCTACTAATCTCCTTGTTTTCCTGGGTCCTATGCCTCCTGTACCTTTTCCATTCTCTGTTGCACTTAGTTTTTGCCTCCCTACACCTTCGGGTAAACCAAGGACTCATTTTGGTCTTCCTATTATTTCTGTTTCCCTTGGGAACAAAACTTTCCTCTGCCTCTTTGCACTTTGTTGCCACATATTCCATCATCTCGTTTACTGATTTTCCTACCATTTCTCTGTCCCACTGAACCTCCTGCAGGAAGTTTCTCATACCTGTGTAGTCCCCCCTTTTATAGTTTGGCCTGTCCCCTTCAGCTCCTGTTACCTTCTCCACTTGTAACTCTACTATATAATCAAAACTCAGAACCACGTGATCGCTAGCTCCAAGGGGCCTCTCGTAAGTGATGTCTTCAATGTCTGAACTGCTCAGGGTGAACACAAGATCCAGTCTTGCTGACTCATCCTCCCCTCTCTCTCTGGTTGTGTCCCTGTCGATCTCCCTGTGGTTGAAATCGCCCATTACCAGTAACTTTGCTCTGCTCGAGTGAGCTCTTCTTGCCACCTCAGCCAGTGTGTCCACCATCACCCTGTTGTTTTCTTCATACTCCTCTCTTGGCCTCCTGCAGTTCTGTGGTGGGTTATACATCACTGTAATGACTACTTTATGTTCTCCGGACTGAATTGTACCTACAATGTAGTCTCTTTCTCCAATCATGTCCATGCCTTCCATTTCCTCAAATCCCCATCGGTGTTTTATGAGCAGTGCAATCCCTCCTCCCCCTCTACTCCTTCTATCTTTCCTCAGGATCTGATATCCCGTTGGGAAGATTGTCTGTTATTGTCTCAGCGAGTTTTGTTTCTGTGACTGCTATGATGTCTGGGGATTTTTCACTGATTCTTTCATTCCACTCCTCATGTTTATTCATTATTCCATCCGCGTTTGTGTACCAAACTTTCAGTTTCTTTTCTATCATTGTGGTCATGCAAGAATATTGGGATTGGGGGAGCGAGAGCCTTGGTGGGGCCTATATGGGGCTGTGGTGTTGGTGGGGTTTGTGATGATGGGGGTGGGGTCAGAATGCCCATAAGGGACAGCTGTTGGGGTGAGGTTTTTGATATGGGGGTTGGTGGCAGAGGGAACAGTGAGTGGGCTGTAGTATAGGTTGCTCAGTTGCGTTGGGAATGTCGCGGTTGGAGTCTTTTGGTGGGAGATTCTGTGGGGTGTGTTTTCCCTTCCTCCTGTGTCTGGGTCCTGCTCATTTTCGTCATTGCCTCTCGTTCCTCCTTGCGTCTCTGTACCTCTCTTTCAGTGTAGTCCTTTCTTCTTGTGTTCTGTCGCGGTCGAGGTATACTCTCTGGTACCCCTGTTTGTCCCTCAGTCTTGCTTTCTCTTGCAGAATCCTGGTTCGAACTGATTCTTCCTTGAAAGTTACTCTGACAGGCCGTATCCTTCCACTCGCAAACCACCCAATTCTCTGAAAATTTGTCACCTGGGTCATATCGCCCTCACCTATTGTTTTCATGATGCCTTCAATCATTTTTTTCTCCTCCTGTTTTATTTCTTCAAAGTTGTCCCCCTTGGCTTCTTGGAGCCCGTACACAAAAACTGACCTCGCCCTTTCCTCCTCCCACTGAGTCTCCATCTGCTTCCTCTGAGGCATTTTATTTCCTTCCATTGACATGTTCTTGCCTTCAGTCCCTGTCATATCTGAAACTTCTATTCTCAGTGAACTGTCTTTCATGACCAGCTGTCCCTTGCTACTGCAGTTGGCTGTTAGAATCTCTGCATATAGCATACCTTCATTGTCTTCGGACTGTCATTTGATCTTAGTGTGCTCCTCGTTGTGTGTGTGTGTGTGTTGTGTGTGTGGTGTTGTGTTGTGGTGTGGTGAGAGGATGAGAGAGAGGAGAGAGAGAGTGAGGAGGAGAGATGATGAGAGAGAGTTGAGAGAGAGAGTAGGAGAGGAGAGAGGAGTGAGGAGAGAGAGAGAGAGAGAAGAGGAGAGAGGAGAGAGAGAGAGAAGAAAGAGAGAGAAAGAGAGAGAAAGAGGAGAGAAAGAAAGGAGAGAGAGGAGAGGAAAGGAGAGGAAAGAGAGAGAAAGAGAGAAAGAGAGAGAGAAAGAGAGGAAAGAGAGAAAGAGAAAAAAGAGAAAAAGAGAGAGGAAAAAAGAGAAAAAAGAAGAGAGAAGAGAGAAAAAGAGAAAAAAATAAAAAAAGAGAAAAAAATAGAAAGAGAGAAAAAAAGAGAAAGAAAGATAAGAGAAAAGAAGAGAGGAAAAAGAGAAAGAAAAAAGAAAAAAGAGAAAAAGAGAGAGAGAGAGAAAAAAGGAGAGAAAAAAGAGAAAAAAAGAGAGAGAGAAAGAGAGAATGAGAGAGAGAAAAAAGAGAGAGAGAGAGAGAGAGAGAGAGAGAGAGAGAGAGAGAAAAGAGAGAGAGAGAGAAGCTACAGGATTGGTCCACAGTACTTCTTATGCATTTCACTATTTTCACATGATGAAATTCTCATTTCACTGAGAGGAATGGCTGAAAATTGCTCTGCTGATGTCACCATGAAGCCGGTGTGGTGTCGAGACCTCTTTACAATAAATTAACATCATTGTTTTTTGGTTGCTACATTAAAAAGAGTAAGAGTGGGTACAAGAAGAACAATATCCGAGACAGGTGAACCAGGATGAAGAGGAAGCAAGGAATAGTTACAGGGAGGTATGAGTAACTCTTGAAAAAGAGATGGAGAGAGAGAGAGAGAGAGAGTAATGAGGAGGTGGTATGCTGTAGCTGTAGGAATGAAGTGTTGTGCAGAAGTTTGTAGATACATAAGTGATGGCATGAGTGGGGAGAAAAATGACTGGTGGCATGATGGGGTAAAAAAAAAAAAGGGTGGTAGGGGGAAAAAAATTAGCTGAGGCATCTCTGGAGATATAGGTTATCAATGAAAGAAAAAAAAAAAACCAAAGTGAATCAGTGTATAATAGCACCAACACTTACATGTTGCACTAAAGAATAGGCTGGAGGCAGTGGAGCTGTCATGTTTGAGATGAATATGTGGGGTGAATATTATGCAGATATTAAGCAGAACAGAAACTTAAAAATGATAAAAGGGGCAAGAATATGTATACTGTGTTTTCTGTCATGTGCGGTGCACATCTTCACATTGGACTCGCTTTAATTTTAAGATGGGTTTTGTGGAAAAAACATTCACTGTGCATTGTTATACATGTGTTCCAGTGCTACCACAACTACTTGGGCTGTATAAGATGTAGCGTGTTGTTTGAACGAAGTATGGGGAGAAAAAATTACATAGTATCATGCATCACATATGATGTGGAAATAAATCTCTGACTTTACTTTGACTTTGATAATATGGTATTTCAGAGAGGAGTTATGGTATTTACAATGGTTTAGTCACTAGAAGGATATATAAATCTGGGATGGGTGAAAGAAGGGAGAGAAAGTCCCATGAAGTGCTAGAAGGAGAGTGGGAATGAAGGTACTGAGTGGTAATTTCTGGGATTTGACCCTGCTGTTTGAGAGTAAGAGAGGTAAAGTTTTTGAGGTGACTCATGGAGACTGATAATCTGGACTTGAGTCCTGGAGATGGGATGCATAGTGCCTGCACTTTGAAGGATGAGTATGGATGTTGCAGTCTGGAGGATTATTACACCAATAACCTGCACATAGAACAGAGAAACTTATGACGATGTGTCAGTTCAAGTCGGACCGAAACGTTGTCATAAGTTTCTTTCTCCTATGTGTAGGTTATTTGTGTATTGTTCCAGTTATGTTATTGGGCCTTTTTGTTCATTTTAGAGGATTATTTCAAGTGTGATGTCTACACACTTCTGATAAGACAGCAATTGAATGAATAATGGTGAACATGTTTCCTTCTTTGACTTACCGTACCTTGGTGGGAAATGAGTAATGTGGTCAAAAAAAATAAAGACATTATATTATATATGAATTACTGTATAAATTAATTACATGAAGTGAGAAAATCACCATACTGGGAAAGTAACAAATTGTGTAAGGAGCACTGTGATCAAACTCTCAGCCTTGCATTTGCAAATTCACTGCCACACCAACTATGTGAGAAACCACAACCCGCTTTTGGGTCTTCATAAATATTTTCAGTGTTTGAATATTAAGTAGTGTCTAGTGTGTCATAATATTAGTTAAAATGCACTTACAAACTGAAGAGTACTAACTGAAATTTTTCTTAACCTGTATACAGTAATAAAAAAAAATCATTCTCATTTTTATGTATTTACATCATATACAGTACAAAGTGCCAAATCTACATAAGATTCCAATATTACATAGCCTATTAACATTACTTATATTTTAAGCTCTTCTGGGTATGTACAAGTCATCAAGCACTGCAATCACATGTCAACAAAAGCTGTCTCAAATAAAATAATGCATGAAAGCTGATCAATACATATCCAAATTCCCTAACAATTTAAGATCTAAATACAATATACTATACTTATTAGTTATACAGGCATTACCAATACAGGGTAAGACCATAATTGTAGTTTATTACTTAGGATCAACATTCAGAAAGAGAACCATAATGGGATGACTGTACCATGTCACAGCATGGGGTATTGTGCATACTCTCAAGAAAATATTTATCACATTATATGAGCCTGTGAATTGTACACAGTGTATTAAATGCAGTAAAAATAATTATCACTGTGAAAGCAGATACTGAAAATGTTAAATCATTTCAAGTGTATTTTGGTATTTATAATGAATAAAAATTGTCACTTTTGTTTTAAAATAAAAAAAAAAGAACACATGCAATTAACAATTACTGTATTTTTCATGTTAAGGTGAAATACAGTGTGTGTGGTTCACTCTGTGGGGTTTTCAAATATAGTCTCATCATTACCAATGATAAGTTCCGACAACCTAGAATACAAGCCTAGATTTCAAGGAGGGAATCTTATTTTTGAGGTTTACTACGATCAATGCTACCAGTGCCTCTTTATAGGGGAAAACTTACTGTCCCTTCTCCATACATTCGCTGAGACAAAGAAAACAAAAATATCATTTTGTATCTGTTTTTGTAGGTCACACTGTATATTTTTCAACATAATAAAACATGCAGGTATAACAAATAAAAATCTGTACCTTTTTCTTCATAACAAAGGTAAACAAGCAAACCCTGGAACAGGTGGGGTTTGAACTCATGCCTTATGGACTGGCCTGGGGTTTTAAGACTCGCTTGACATGAGTTCATACCCCACCCATTCTGTGGTTTGTTTGCAATCGCATTATTTCAATTTCATGAGTAAACAAGCAGCTTGAATTTTAAACAAGTTAGTAGTGGAAGATGCATAATTAAAGAAGTCAATGAAACACATAGATTCTTTAAACCACAAAAACAAACTACAGTAAAACCAAAAGAAACAGGTGTATTAAATAAGGAAGAGTTTTGTAATGGTCAACTGACATATCATTGGCTCATCAAAATATATGTTTGTGAGGAAAGTGTTAATGCATTATCCTCAGTTTGGGCAATTTTGGTTTTTAGAAATAGGAAATCAACATAATATAATAAAAATACACTGCGTGGACAGCACATAGCTGCGGGCGACTCTCTTCAGCCTTGCATTTTATTTTTACGAGACACGAAATGCACTTGGCACCATGCTTTACTTACCTTATCCTATGTTGAGAGGACATCACATAATAATTAGATGGTGTTAAACTACATAAAAAAAAATTAACGTGATCTTAAAAAAATGCTATATTATAAAAAGTTAGCTTCTGGCTTCATGAAAAATTTAGAGCAGGTGCACTAAGGTTATTTGTGCAAAGTTATTTACTATTTGATGCTGAACATAGATGCAAAAATTGGATATTTTCAAAATATTTTGAAAAAATCAATATTATTCATATGAAAATACTGCAGTACTAAAATAAAATTAGCCAAGTTAATAGTTTGTAAGTACACAAAATTCTGAAGCAAAAAATTATAAACCTGAATGAAGAATGAGGCAATTTTAAGCCACGTTTTAATCTGATGCATGTATTTGCACTATATACATCACTTATTGTACCTTGTACTTCAGTTTTTGAGACCAACACCTTAGGACTTCATGATGTGATTTTTGTACAAAAACTGTAACTGCAATATTACACTTTCCAAATTTGGAAATACCATGCAAAATCATTACTTATCTCTTATAGCTTAAGACATGTCGATCAATGACCATAATGATTTCTAATATTTTCAGTTATTTTGATTCATATGGAAGATACTATACAGGTCATGCTAACAATAACATTACAGAGAGCTCAGCTGTAGGATTTTTCAAGGCTTAAACATACTCATTTATAACAGTGTAAAATCTTATAGAAGAATCATAAAATATTAAGGGTATATTTGTCTATGGGTTTCAATAAATTTATAAATTGTATATAGTGAGGATTTTTTTAAACTCTTACAAAGGTTTGTTTAAAAAAATATTTTGACTCCCTTACTGACCAAGTGTACACCAGCTGTATCACTCTTTGCTACCCTACCATAAATCTTGATTGCAAATTTGATGTTCATTGTATGTTCCATATTTTCGCAACAAAATTTAAATAGCATTTTCTTTGATATTAAGATAATTAACATAAAACAAGGACAATCAGTAATTAAGAAATAAGCCTACATATAAATCAATCAAAACACAATTTCAGAGTAATATAAAAAACAACAACTTTTGATCTCTTGCATTATATGTCATGTTATATACAAATAATTGCAGTTGATAAAAGGTAAAAAAACATTGTATTACTACTACTTTCTGCCTTAGGGAACAATATTACACATTACAGTCACACCTCATTAATCTGGAGTTATTGGGATTAAGAGTATTTTGTTATTCAGGTAGTGTTGCTATGACTAATTTACTAATGCTTGTAAGACTTATTTTTTTAATTTTTAACACACCAGCCATCTCCCTCTGAAGCAGGATGACTTGAAAAAGTAACACGTCTTTCTTCTTTTCACATTTAGAAATTTATACTACAGGAGAAGGGGTTACTATCCCCTTGCTCCTGGCATTTTATTTGCCACTTATGACACGCATGGTTTACGGAGGAAGAATTTTTCTCCACTTCCTCGTGGAAGAGACTTATTTTCCACTATTATATCTTTATATAAATGTACTTTTCAGAAAATTCTCTATTTATTCACTCAGAAAAGGTATATGACAGTGCTTCTGAGTGGTCAATGCTGCATAATTAAGTGTGACGTATGAAGAAATGGCAAACATGATTTCTTGCTAGGTAGCGACTTGCAAGATACAGGTACACAAAAGTTGTGAACAGTAGGACTAAGTATTGGTTTGTGTATTTCGTGATAAATTATCTATTATTATATGAAAACACACAACCCTCCATTGCCAGTATTGCAACTGTAAATCAAGCAGTGTATATCTCTTATCTTGGATCAATGTCCAACATTCTGCGCTATAATCTAATGTCTTGAAGACTGTAAAATTAAATATCCAGTCGAGCAGGTGCTGCTTTCTGCCACCCCAAGAGAAGATCTGCCATTCTCCAAAACCATGCACTTCTAACTCACATTCAAGAGTTTTACCAAAATTCATAGGTGATTCATGCTTTTAAATCTCAATGGAAAGCACATCTCTTTTCTAAAACTTATGATCTTGATGATCATACTGTCACTCTTGAATATAAACTTCAGTACTTCCTCTCCATTTATGGCTTGGTGTGCAAGAGCTTGTAAATTTCTTGGGGAAATAAAAAAAAGGCATTTAAGAATACAAAAAATATAAGATACAAAACCTGTATGAGTAAATGTTTTATTTTTATTTATGATTAATTTGTATAACTGAAAAAGTCAATTTTTTTTTTTTAACTTACAGGGTTTTTTTTTTTATACAAATCAAGAATTATTATTCTTTATTATATTGCTGGAATTAGTTTTCTGAAATACTTCTGTTCCCATTTAACATGCCTAGATCAAAAAACTTTCATATAACAACCTTAACAAGTAACTATTAAAAGTAATGTAAAAAGCTCATGTAGGTCGTTTACTTTTTCATATAGAAATGATACTTGTTGAGAGACAATTAGGTAATGAAGGATGTGATGAGTGCACCTTCTCTCTCTCTCTCTCTCCTCTTAGAGTGAGGTGCTTCAATCTGTTGTCTTGTTCTCTGTCAACAGTGATTTTATAATACTTTCCTTATTTTCTGTACTTGACACTTTTTTTAAAATTCTTGCACTTATCAGTCATCAGCATGAAGTATGGATGAAAAATAATACACTTGAGTGTATGTGTTTGTACAATTATGGTAAAAACATATGAAGAAAAAGGCAAAGATACTTGGCATTTTTCATTCTTTTAGACACTGCTAAACAACAGGTCACACTTGCATTACCCTAAGTATTTGTTGGTTAAGTGAAGATGGAGCCAGTGAAATCCATACAATTAAGCAGAATTCCCAGCTACGTAACACCAGGATATATGAGGTGCGACTGTAATTTACTGTTAGTTACCATGGCAATAAAGTTCATGTTGGATCACTTACCCCAAACTCCACCACCAAGGCATCAATGATGGACCCAATCACTGTGATGAAGTCGAAAGTATTCCATGGATCCTTGAAAAAATTCTTGGGAGAAACAAAATGGCAGTTAGCTTAATATTTTAAGTTCTTGAGTTGCACTTTTATTTCTGAATGTATGAATGTATATAAGGTACACTGTGTACACATTATATTAAATGCAAGTAACAGTAGGTTATTCTACAGCTAAAGGTATATACTTGACATTTACAAGTTATAAAAAAAGTAAAAGACATATGTGAGTATGGACTCATAAACAGAGCAGAGAATATTGGCATTACTCAATACTATATGCTACTATCTACATAGCTAAACAGAAACTGCATTAAACTGTTCTATATGTAATATAATATTCTCAAAGCAAGACTCTTATATTTTTAAACTCAAACATACTAAAAGAAAGGAAAACTACCATAAGATAAACATAAGAAGAAAGAAGACATGAGAGAAAGTGAAAGGAAGCTGATGAGCAATTCTTAGAAAGGCATTCTTCCCAATATTAGGAAAAACCCGGCTGTCAGTATTGATGCTAAGTGTGATAATATTGACAAATCCTAGGTAAAATGACACTAAGGTAAATCAACTTTTAAGTTTGATAGCAACATTCATAGGTATACACTGACACACACAGAGGAATACCAAGGGAGTGACAGAGACTTGGGAAATATGTGAGGACAGTGATGAGCAAGAGTATCGGGTATGGGAGGTTGCGCAAGGAATCATGTTGGTGGGTCGGACAATAAAGTACACTTGGAAGAGTATTTAGATTTATAGAGTTCATATCTTGTAGTGTTAGGTAAACACAAATGATATGGTAAATTAGATGAATCTGAGCTTTACATGACTATGTTCATTATAGTGTATTTTCTTACAAAAAATATTAGAACAATGTAGCAGGTAAAGCTCAAAGTCCCCAATGAAGACAGGACATGTCAATAACCAAAAAAAAAAAGTTGTCTGTGGAACCTATCTGAACATGGCAACTCAAGTCCTTAGTAGCTCTTAAAAGAAAATTATAAAATAATCTAAAAATATTATTCCTTTTAAGCCAATACATAACTATTTTAGAAAAACTAAACAAATTATCAGTAAACATGTTTATATGTACTGTAGTTACAATCCCACAGAAGTATGTATGTATGTGTATGTATTTATAAATGTATGCATAGGTAATTACATATGTGTAGCTACAGGAGTAGAGCCAAACTCATCAAGCTACATCACGTGTGTGTTATTATGGCTATGTTATACAATACTAACAAAGTGAGGAAACAGACACATGTGCAACACTTGGTTATATTTATCTGAAGATGCTTTACCAATACAGAGATGATATGTGAAGTCAGAATAAGAGGTAATAAGTCCCTCAGCCTAGACACTAGCTTCCAGGCTGAGGGACTAATTACTCCCATCTTCTTCTGTCTTCTGTGTATTGTTCAACAAGAGTGAGGAACTAATTCCCTCAAATTCTACTGTCTTCACATATCATCTCTATACGGAATTGATGAACCAAATAACTGAAGAAACATATTCAAATAAAGAGCCCCAGTTATTGCACGTATGTCTATTTCATCATTGTGTGTGTGTTTATATAATCGACTATTGCTTGTTTGTAGCTACAAAAGCAGAGAATAACTTGTAGTGCCCCATCTTCAGAAGTAAAGTGTACTGCAAGGTTCAGAAAACTTAAGTGGTAGCACTACTACCTCCTCTTGTAAAATTTAACAATAATCTATCATTCTACAAAAAAAAATCTATTATCCTTTCGGCAGATCTCCTTCCGTAATGTGTAGTTAGAGCTGCTAATTGTGTCAACTAACGGAGTTACAATTACGTGTATATACTCACCGAGTTTTGTGTATGTGTCCGTATCCATGTGTTTTTGTGTGCATTTGTACATGTGCTTATTTGTGTTTTTGTGTTGTTGCATATGTGTCTGTGTATGTACTCATCACCAATTTATGGTTGCAGGGATTAATTTTCAGATCCTGATCCTGGCTCTGCCTTGTAACTTGTCATTATCCAGATTCCCTCCCTCCTAGCCTTGTGGGCCCTATTAATCCTGCTCTTAAAACTATGTATGGAGTCTGCCTCCATCACTTCCTCACCAAGGTCATTCCACTTCCTGATCACTCTCAGGCTCAAGAAATGCTTCCTAACATCCCTGTGATTTATCTGTGACTTTAATTTCCAGCTGTATCCCAGTGTTACTGTTATTTGCCTCTCTGCCTATCTTTGTCTACCTTATCACTTCCCCAGAGCATTTTGTGTTTTTGTCTCCCCTGGTTCTTCTGTCCTCCAATGTCATTAGATTTGTAGCTCATTTCCCTTAGCTCAGGAAAAGGCCTTGTTGCATACTTATGTACTTTCTCCAGTTTCTTAACATGCTTTGTAAAGGTGCAGGATCCTGAAAGTTACTCCTAAATATGCCAGACGATCATTGGCTGCAGAAGTTATTCGGCTGATGTGAGCCTCTGGCTATATACTGCGCATTATGCTCACCCCTAGGTCTTTGTCCTTGAGCAAAGTCTGCAGCTCCTATTCCCCTTAGTCTATACTCCATTTCCAGTCTTCTTGCTCCTTCCCTAATCTTCATGATGTTGCATATAATGTGGTTAAATCAAGCAACCCCTTATTTGACCACTCTTGCAATTTGTCTACATTACTGTGGATCCTTTCTTTGTCCTCATCTGTTTTTAGTTTCATCACCAGTTTAACATCATCAGCAAACAGGAATATACCTGAATCAGTCCCATCTGGAATATCATTCACATAAACAAGAAACAGTATTAGTCCTAATACCAATCCTTGTGGAACCCCACTAGTTCCTCTTCTCCATTCTGATGTCTCTTTCAGTCACTTTTCTTTCTTCCCCTAAGATACTCTTTGATCCACTAGAGTACATGCCCTGTTATTCCCTTCTGCATCTCAAGTTTTAGGCCCAGCCTCTCGAGGGGTACAGTATCAAGTCAACCTCTCTCTCTCTCTCTCTCTCTCTCTTGTTGCACATCTGTTACTGTCACACAACTCCAACAAATTAGTAAGATTTTCCATCCCTAAATGCATGCTGGTTATTGTTTATGAAACTGCATCTCTCCAAGTATTCTACTACTCTCTCCATGATAGGCTTCTCTATTACCTTGAAAGGCATGCATGTCAGAGAAACTGGTCTATAGTTTAACACTTCCTGTCTGTCTTCTTTCTTAAATATAGAGAATGGTTCTTGCTGTCACATAGATCTCTGGTAACTGTCTCATATCCAATGACTAGTTGTAGATCATAGCTAGTGGCTTAGACAATGTTTCTGCACCCTCTTTAAGAATCCATGGTGACCTGTTGTCAGGTCTCACTGACTCTGATGAATCCAAATCCATCAAAAGTTTTTTACCTATTTCCCTGTTGTGCTGTGTGTTGAATGTGTTATGCTGTGTGTGTGTTTATACAGAAGGAACAAGAATAGCACATATAGTTCCTTACGACAACCCATCTTCTAACTTTTTAGCATTCTGAGCAAGATGAACACTATAAGGCAGTACAATATGCTACCTGAAGCCAGACATTATATTTAGTTCATCACTGATAGTTAATTATACATAAATAAAGATTAATATACACTAACCTAACCTATTAGAGAATGACAAATATTACTGCACTGTAATAAAGTTCGGACTAACATTAGGTTGGGCAGAAATGCACAAACAGCAATTCAGAGAAAGATGAACACCCTAATTATGACATTAGCTAGGAAAAGAAACTTGACTTTTGCCCATACACACCCTGCCTAAGCCTAACCAAGTGTAGACCAGTAAGTGATTTATGAAAATTTGTTTTTTATGTTAATTAACCAATTAACACACAATAGGTTGTCCTGGAACACACAATGTATGATAAAACTAAATTTATAAAATCCTGCTAATTAACTCTCAATGTGCAATTTTGTGCAAGGATCATCAAAGCAAAAGTTGGTCTGATGCAAACTTCAACAGTACATTTTCCAAACCTGGATAACAATAGATTGGTTTGTGTGCTACATTGCTCCTTTTAAGGGCAAGAATTAACACAGCACTCACGGTGTACTGTACTACACTTTTGATGCTAAAATGATAAAATCCAGCAATTAAACTTGAGAAATAAAGAATCCATGAAGTTTATTAAAGTTAAAATATACATTAAAACTAAACCAGACAGAGTTCAATGATCATTGTGAATTTTTCAGTTCTAATGTACATTAACTGTATATTGTAGATTTAACTTCAAATGTCTGGTACAATGGTTTCAATTGCAAAGACACTCTCACATTACTCAGGCAGTTTTAGAAGCATATACAAAAGATAAGGTAATTAGTCCCTCAGCCTCAGAGTAGGTAATGAGCACCACAGCCATCACATTATGTCATTGTATTGTATTGATAAACCTACTGGATGACAAAATGTCTATAAATTAATTAAAGATACCCAGATGCACAAATAACCTGCACATAGGAGAGAGAAGCTAATGATGATGTTTCGGTCTGACTTAGACTATTTACAAGTGACACGTGTTACACATGTTTAATTCTTCATCTTGTTGGTATTGTATAACATTCATATACAATTTTAGAAGCTACAGAATTCTCACTAAAATGATCTTACCCAACCAAGAAACTGCCATCAAGTGACATGAGAACATAAGAGTACTACAGTAAGTCTACTGGTCCTTGCTAGGCAGGTTCTTCTCAAAACCAACACTTTTCACTCATGAAGCACATTGCCCCTCTCGGTGAGGCAAGTGACCTTACCACTCTATCTGTCTTTCTAGGTTGTACCTGACCTTTATCTGTTATATACAGTGGAACCCCCGAATATCGGCCGTAATCCGTTCCAGAAGGTCGACCTAAATTCGAAGCAATATTTCCCATAAGAACTAATTAAATACAATTAATCCGTTCCAGACACCAAAAAATATTAACAAAAAATACATTTTTTAAGGATTAATTAAAGTTTTACATACACAAAACAATGAGAACTAAATAAAATAAATAAATGAACATTTACATCACATTACATACCTTTATTGAAGACTCTTGTTGGCTTATGGAAGATAAGGAGGAGGAGAGAGGGAGGAGTGATTATTGTTTGGAAGGGGTATCCCCCTCCATAAGGACTCTGCCTTCCTTCCACACTCCCTGTTTTGCTGCTACACTCCCTGCATGCCTGCTACACTTCCTGCTTGCCTCACACTCCTGTTTCTCTCATCCCTGTCCTGCCTGCCTCCCTTCCACACTCCCTGTTTCCCTGCTACACTCCCTCCTTACTACACTCCCTGCCTCTCTCCACATCTTCCATTGGGTCCATGGTGGCTTATTTCACAGTTACACTTAATAAACAAGCACAAAAACCAATGGATTTTAAGGAAATGTTTAGATAAATGCGTGGAGTATATGCTCATTCACCGAGAGACATAAGGAGACTGACTCACCTACATGCGGTGTCCCGGCGGAAGCCAAGCTGACACATACAATACAGCTGATTTGTGAGGCACTGGCCAAAATATGGGGCAAAATTTCCGCCCAAAAACCAGCCTAAATATGATTCGGCTGATAAATGCAGTGGCCAATATTCGGGGTTCCACTGTATAGTGACCTCACCACTCTACCTGTCTTTCTAGGTTGCACCTGACCTTTATTTGTTTATGTGACCTAATGTGAATTTATCTGTTGAGTGTAATGTGAATTTAGTGGTTTTTGTATTACAAATGAAAAATCACTGGTGGCAAAACTTTTTTTTTTAAATACATGAGCCATATCCCACTGAGACAGGGCAACCTGAAAAAAGAAAAGGGTATAAAGTTTTTCTTCTTTTTACACTTAGTAATAGTGGTAAAATGTCTCCTTCAACAACACTCTTGGTTGTGTATTTATACCCACAGCATTGTGTCAATTCTTGTCCTTAAAAAGAAATACAACTGTTATTCAGGTTCAGAGAACGTAGTGTCTAAGTTTATGTTAAACTAATTTTACCAATAATGAACTTTGTGCAAAACTTCATTTTGAACTTTCATTAGTAGGATTTTATAAGTCTAGCTTTATTGTACATTGTGTGACATAGAACATTCTACTGTGAGTTAACTAGCTCATATCCGAAGCGTTCTTTGCCTGTAAAAACTTGAACTTTCGTAAATTGCGGTAGTCCTACTGATTTATTCTTAGACTTTGGGACCTTAACTTATGAAATACAATACTTTTGATTCTTCTCCATTTCCGCTAAAGGTGTGTATGCAAATGTATTAAAACATTCAATTATTAACTTTCTTTAAATTTACTACTAAGAATATTCCTGATTTGCAATAACACCCCTGATGTATACTCACATGTTTCATAGTGGTTCCTTTCTTTAAATCTTTTATTTTATCTAAACTAGTCTGCACCTGCTAATGGCCAACATTTCTGCTTTACCTTTACATACTTACCCAAAATGCAAATAATAAAAAATAATCTAAAACAAGAAATAGCAAAATTTTAATAATCATTAACTCTTTCACTACCGAGTTTGAGATATCAAACCAAGCAGTATGTATGTCTGACCATGTTTGTCATGATTTAACTCTGGCTGTCAAAGTAACATCTAGACCATTGTATACTGTGTTAAATCTAACTGACCAGGAGGAGAAATTTCAATCTAGTAGGTGATGAAGTCTGCCGCTGAGTTAAAGGTCTGAATGCAAATGTTCCTCAGCTGGCAGTCTCCACCCACACACCTGTGTAATCCTTCAATTTCTTCACAACATAATATACATTAAGGAACTGATGTGTGTTTTTTGTCTAAAAGTGGAAGTCTCACTTTCACTCTCACTGTTGTAAATCTTTCGGAAAATCTCATGCAGTTCTTCAATGTTTCATAAATTAAGAGGTGAAATTTTAGTTACACAGGCACTATCAACTGCTACCCAGAGCTGAAGGTTTAAATGTTCACATTCCTTAACTGACTCATCCACCTGAACACATAAATGGTCCTTTAATCATTCAAATACCCCACAATATTTTTGTCACTGATAAAGACCACAAGATTTTTATACAATTAGTGGAGAGAAAGTCTGGTGGTCCATCACCTTGGTCTCAACTGTAGTACTAGTGAGTTTCTGGTTATCTTCTTTACCAGGAACACAAGACAAACCTGACTTGTCATTCATAAGCCACACATTTCTAGTTTGTATTGGTTAGTACTATAAATAATGTAAGATGTGCAGTACTATAGCATACAGATAACTTATATAATATCTGGGGCATATAAACTATCCTTCATTTAGAACAGTGAAATAAACTTTTGGGTGAAGTTTGACATAGCCAACAAGTGGTAACGAGAGAGAGACAGCTTTATTAGTGCAAATATTCACTTACACAAGGCTTTATCAAGTACTTAATAATGGTTCATGTAGGTGAATATTTGTACTAATAAAGATCTCCTTTTGATGTGTCTTTTTACCTCACACTGGATAATTAATTCATGTTAGAGGGAATGATGCTTCACTGCAATACAACTATAGACAGGAATGAAACTGATATATTATAAGGGCTGTACATATAAGCAAATTGTTTTATGTTATATACCCAAAATGAAAATACAGTGGAACCTCAGTGTTCAAATGTACTGAACCCTGAACAAACTGGAGTCTGAACAATTTTGTTCAGAAAAAACTGACCTAGTCTTTGAATGTTTTTCTAGTCTGAACATGCTGACTTGTTTAAAATTCAGTTGAGAAAATCTTTACAGGAAAGCCCTGTTTCAAAAGTGTTTTGAAGTGACCTCTGATACTGACCTAACTCTCAGAGACTTTTGGAAGAGTCAGTTCAACATCCTCCAGTGTGTAAGGTTGATAATTAAAGCCTGGGAAATATTGCTTCAAAAATCAAACTTTTTGCAGTTCAAACACTGATGTTCCACTGTATATGAAACGAATGAATCACTGAATATTTGCCCCAAGTACCGTAATGGGGTTCATTATAAAACAAAATAAAATAGTGTAATGCTTATTTTTTTATTATGTAAGAATTGTGCATTTGGAACACTTTATTTTGAAATAACAAAGATTTTTGCACAAAATATATTTTGAAGATAATTATCATCATTATCCTGTACCAGGAGCCATGGGAAGCCCAGGTGGAAATGAATCACACCTATTCCTACCTGTTCCAGACCACATCTGTCTCAGTGCACACCTGTCCTAATGCACACACCTATCCTAGTGCACATCTGTCTTAGTGCACACCTATCCTAATGCACACCTACCCTAGCACACACCTATCCTAATGCACATCTGTCTTAGTGCACACCTGTCCAAGCACACACCTATCCTAGCACACACTTGTCCTAGCGCACATCTGGTTTAGCGTACACCTATCCTAGCGCACACTTGTTTGTATCCCAGATACAGGAGGGCCCCGTGTATACAGCACCTCTTGTCAATGTTCTACATTTTTGTTGGCTTTCAGTTGAGCCATTGTTCATTATATTCAGTGTTTTACCACTTTTCTGGCATTTTCATACAACAGTTGCACAAGCACAGGACAGCCGACTCTGTGTTTCAAGATAAGCACTGTATGTACTGTGTATTTATTTTATTTTTAATCTTTTTTTAATGCCTAGCTGTACTGAACACTTAATATATAATAGTATAAACAAGTTATCAGGCATTTCAGATGCATTCGATAATGAAAAAAATGGTTATTTTCCACCCACTGGAGAGTCTCGCTTATCGTATGGGGCTGGGAACTTTAACGCCATATGAATGGGGCCCACCTGTAGTTCAGTTTGAGCCACTCACCATTCACCTCAAATTAATAAGGGTCCCTTATGCATGGAATTCAATTATTCAAAGTTTTTACTGATAAGCAACCTGTGAATAGATATTTCTATGCATAATTTTGTTACATGGCTTTCCACTGCTCAATATCTATTTCATCTGGTTATCTTTCTTATGAATGTAAATTTTAAAAATATTAAAATGTGGCTTCTGAAACATAAAATGAGCCCAGATTTATTATGCAGACATACTGATGCATTATTCATAGTTTAGACTTAAGTGACTTCTAGAAACACAACCCCTTACAAATTTGGTGGGTCAACTGTACAGGTGCTCCTCAACTTATGATAGGGTTATGTTCCGATAGACTCATTGTAAGTCAAAAATATTGTAAGTTGAATGTGAATATGATATGCTAAATAAATAAATAAAATAACTACTGTCGCTGAATAAGTAAATAAACAAATAATTACTGTAATTAACTAAATGCCAATAAATAAATGAATACAAGTTATGGACTTGCCACCTTCATACTGGGTAATTATCTTAAGTTTTAACCACAAAGTAATTACTTTTTCACCATCGTAAAGTCAAGATATCGTAAGTCGAGGAACACTTGTACTTTGCTGTTGCTTCATTTTTTAGCTGGAAAATCACTGGTGAGAGCAGTAGATACTCATGACTCCCAAGACTCTGATGCTGAAAATCATTTTTCATTCTTCAAAATGCAGTTTCCTGCTGTCAAATATTGGGATGCCCAGGAGGAATCATACACCCACACTCATAATGGAGAATTTAGCTGCTGAGGTGAGCATATTCTAAGTAATGAACCTGATACAGGAGCAATTTCTTTGAACACTGAAAGGATTGTGCCAGAAACAGAGCAAAAAATATCTCAGTTCTCAGCCATGGAAATATCCAGCACCAGAGTGCAGTAAGGCAAAGAGGCAGAGTATAAGACCAGATGATCTTGTATGCATTTGCTCTTGCAAATGCATACAAGCACCAGAACAAGCAGCAGCAAGGGTATGTATGGCATGGTCACATATGCCAAAACCATTGAGGACACATCAAAGACAAGAGCCAAGAGACTGATGTGACCCCAAAGAGGTACCAAATGAATAGTAAGGCACTTTGAATACTTATACCTGGATACCCTTTCCTATGACATTAAGAATGATCATGCATGGAGAGGGAATGGATTTTGTCCCAGCCACACCAGGTTTGGAAGTCCTGGGAGAGCAACAATCCTAACAAAGAACCACAACAACTGTAGACAAGAATCACCCAAACAGACCATATCAGAGTGAACTGCAACTGGGGAAAAATGACAGAAGAACAGCACAATGATAGCATGATAAGAGAGGTTGTCCTGGAGAGAGATCTAAGAGATGTTATATAGGCTAATAAAGAGAATC